TGTTGATCGTCATACCTACAACAGTCAACCGTCCCATTTATATGGCCAACAAAAGAGACCTCAGATATAGATTTGGTGACGTAAGAGGATCGGACCAACGGAAATTGGGTAGACTGTGCACAGCAAAGCTCGAAGAACTTTAATTAACAGTTGGTGAAAAACCCGTGGATGTAACAAAATAAAAGGGATAGTTGTAAGCCAGTACATGCCGGGTTCAAACGAAATAGGCGAAGATTCTTACATAAAGACGAGCGTTTTAAACTTGAAGTCTACAAAAAGGTGTAGTAAATACGGTCGGCGTACGCTAGGCGAGAGTTACGCAATTTTGTCCTCCATCTTATCGTTGACAGAAGGGCTGTTGTGTAAATTTATAACAAATTTAAAGTGACTTTTATTTTTATCATTAAGTAGTAGGCCCTTCTTCATTACGACCAATGTTGATAAATGTGACCGTTAGGAAGTTATATATTATACTGCATATACAAGGTAAAAAATTCTTTACCCTCCTAAAAACACCGGCTCGAGATACATTTTTAGTCATATTCCATGGAATGCTCTTAACATCCCGATAGCAATGAATATCTTAAGTGCTTTGACAAAAAATCCATGACAAAATGTCATCTGTGGAAGCCGTAGTACTGTAAAAAGTACGACCAATCATCTGAGCCGGCCCGGCTAAAATAACTGGATGGCCTACCTGCCTGTCAGCCTTCCATCTGCGCACAAACTTATCTCGTGCCCTCATTGGTCATGTGCGCGTTCGTGTGTGTTGGAGGAGGGGCTCTGTAAGGAAGTGGCAGATTTTTTCCAGCTGTGTATTTTCAAATTCTAGCGCACTCGAGCTGGTTTCTCCAAAATTACCTACCCCACCTTTAATCTATGAGGTTTATGTTGTAAATGAATCTACGTCACATAAACAACACGCATACACAAGAGTGTTTAGCTTCCCTACTTCACTCATCAAGATTTATTTGAGTATGTGCATGCTTGATTATACTGAATGTGTGTACTTTTGTAGAGTGTTATGCAACACTGTTCACACACATCTGAATGTTTCCCTTTCAACTCATGGACAAGCTGGTAACCATTAAAAACACACACACACATACACACACACACATATACATATACACACGTGCACACTCGTCTTTATTCTTAAAGCACCATCTATTATTCAGCGAGAGCAGGTGGGAGGGGCGGGGTAAAGCGGTAGTTGGGGCATGGCTGAATAGAATGATGGTGTGGAGTGTGGGGGCAATCAAGGGTGGAGACATGTGTGTAAGTGTGAGATTGAGTGTGTGTGTGTGTTTTTTTTTTTTTTTAAAGGAGGCAACCCCCACCCTGTGCACATTTTCAGCTCTGGTCCCATGAATGGTAAAATTGTAGCCGGCCGCTGTGATGGAGGAGTGAGAGGAAGACAAAGACAGAGGGGGAAGAAAGAACCCCGTGACCCACCAACCCCCTCCTGACTTCCTCTCCATAGTCACACTTCACCGGGGTGACCTGTGTCGATAGACATATTTCATCAGCCATAAACCTCTCAATAATATATATTCCAATTATGCTCACCATGCAGGACAATCATATTCTTATCTTAACCAAATATGTCTTTATAGTTCTGTGATAGGATAGCAACCTCCTGTGCAGTGCATGCTGGGATAGGCAGCCTGCATGACCCTGAAGTAGAATCAGTTATAGTTTGGATGATGAATGGATGGATGGATGGATGGTAAACATTTAAAAAGGTCTAAAATATAAGCTAATTGTACATTGAATATTCCTGGACATTTAAGAATGAAATGTCTGTTTGCATGTAGAATATACTTATATATATATATACTATATTATTAGCAGATTAAATAAATAACACAGGTGTTGTTGTGGTCTTCAGCCATGCTAGAGGCTAGATGAGACTGTACATTAGTTTACTTACTTAGGGAGGTGTAATGGCAACCGTGTCCACTAACTTAGTTTATCATGTTAGCTTGTTAACATTTGCTTATAAGCACTAAACACAAATCTGATCCTGATGGGAATGCTTTTCGTTATTCGGGAATTTACTCAAAACACATACAGAACAAATAGAAATTCGCTACTCATAACGGTGATAGAGACAAAACGTCAGGGGACCACCAACATCACTAGGAGTGAATGTCTGTACAAAATGACATGAAAATGTCTCATAGGTCCAAAGTGGTTGACAGACTGTCATCGGTTGACATTGCTATCCATGGAGCAGATACAATTTCTATAAGCACATTGTTGCTGGGACAAATCTAACCAAGTTAAAAGTTAACATCGGAAAATGTACATATAACAACTGTCATAGGTCCAAAAAGAAAATGTGGTGGGAATTCACAAGACATATGACTGTATAACAATACGCCTACACTGCTATTATTCACAGTCTATGCTGAAACATTAACTCAGGGCAAAGACTCTGAGAAGGCGGCTCAGACAGGATGATAATACTGTATCACTAGAGACACAGACGTCAACTACAGCTGAACAATTGTCTTGTTTGCTCATGGCAAGAATTAAACACACAAAAATGCACAGCAGCAGATTCAGATTCAGTCATTGATCAAAACGAGAGAGCTAGTTTTTGTAACTGAAGGCCAAAAATGCAAATGTTGGCCCATTCAGTCAAAATACCTCCCACTCCTATACCCACACACATCAACTGGGTTTAATCTGTCTGGCATGGAAGATATCTGTAAACAAATATCAGTGTGAAGCCGGGGATCAGTTCACAGAGGAGTGCAGTACTGATGGAGGAAGATGATGAGGAGAGAGGAGGGCAGCACTGGTAGAGGAAGATGATGAAGAGAGAGGAGGGCAGCACTGATGGAGGAAGATGATGAGGAGAGAGGAGGGCAGTAGGAAGGAGAATCTGGGATGTACTTATTCAAACTCAGAGGGAAATTGGAAATCTGCCACCAAACTAAAAGCCAAAAAATACGAATTCTCACTATTTCATCAATGAAACTATAATAGTAATCCTTATTTGCAAACCTACCTATTATTGTTATTATTGATTAATCCGTTTACTCTCTTTTGATTGATTGTACGATGTGAGGGTCTAAGGACAGAGGGTGTCGTATTGTCATACTGATATTCTGTATAAACTGTGAAGCCCACTGAGACAAATGTAACATTTGTGATATTGGGCTATATAAATAAACATTGATTGATTGATTGATTGATTGATTGATTTACAACAACACTTTAAAACCCAAAAGTATTAAATATGCCTTCATACACCCATCTTGTTTTCCCAACCAATATTCCAAAT